CATGGCCTAGTCATTCCCAGTGCTCCCTCCAATCCCCTGCAGCCACCGCTCAATGACACAGGAGAGTCAGAGCTGCAGGACCATGTGACTGCACTGGATCAGACTAAAAAGAAAAGGTAAGTATTCAGATCCTTTTTATACAGGGTATGCAGGATAGGTAGGAGGAAGGAGAAGGAACCTTTTAAAAACTGTTTAGGCTTTAATTCCACTTTAATTATGATCCAAGAAAACAAAGCTAACCATAGTTTGAAGTATATTTTATTAAAAGGTTTTGAGCTTTTCGATTTTTTTATATCGAGTACAGAAAACACTAGTTGCTGTTGCCAGAAACGCAAGATCCTGAAAGTGTGTTTCCATGTTTGCAGCCAAATTAAGATAACACCTACTTCATATTTGTTACATGTTTCCATTTGCATAGTATACTTACTTACACATTTAAAATAGCTGAACGGCTTTTGCTTGCCTAAAAATCCTACCTAGTTTTCTTGTAATGTTAAGAAGGGGGCTGATGAGTTATATTTACCATAATTAACCCTGCCTGTACTGTGCTGGCCAATCTCATTAAGAGTTGTAAACTATGCTGGTACACTGCTTCTCCTAACAACGGTTAAAAGGAGAAGTATTGCCAAAGCTTTTTTGGCCATACTTGTTTTGTGGGTCACATGAATGCACTTACTTTTGCTCTCCACTGACCAGAGTCAGCTGATTTTGCCTGCGATCAGCTGACTTGGCAGAGCTGCTCAGGCTCTGGAAGGATCTTGACAATATTGATTGACAGTTGACTCCACCTCTTAGTGTACAACTGCGCCAACCCTCTTCTCAGCCTGGCTCTCCACTAAATGCTGGGGGAGCAGAACAGAGAGTGATAACTGACAGTCACAGTTCTCTGTCCAAGCAGGCCAAGGAGTGAGCAATCAGAAGTCATGTGATTGCTCAGTTCTCAGGCTTAGAGCTGACATGAAACAGCTGCAGCATCGCACTGATGCTGCAGCATAGGGGTAGGTATGTGTCTTTTTTGTTTTTGAATAAACCCATACTTTTCTTTTAAAGATCTCAAGGTTTAGGGTGGTGCATTGTTAGTGCACTTAAAAAATGTCCCTGTGTTTGTTTCTCTAATTACACTTTAAAATTGTTCATATTAGCTTGCAAATTGTCTGCAGAGTCCTACCTTGAAAGGTAAGAAGTATTTAAAAAAAAATATTTTAAGGTATGCTGTGTGAATGGGAACACATAACAACAGGGGTGGACTGACCATTCGGGCACTCGGGCACTGCCCGAGGGCCTGGGGTCGGTAGGGGGCCCCATGAGATGCCCCTGGTATCTTTCATAGGCTTTTTGTGGGTGTGCTTTGAGTGTGGGCAAGGACACAGGGGCCCCATGATCCCCTATTTCCCGGGGGCCCCATGAGTTGTCAGTCCGCCCCTGCATAACAAACATCCACAGGATGGTTTCTCAAATTTGACTGCAAAAGTGGAAATACATGTTAACCTGTTGCCGCCCGCCCACTGTAAATATACTGCAGGAGGGCAGCACGAACAGGCTGGATCAGGTGCATGTACGTCATCCAGCCTACACCAGGTTAGGGGTGCATAGCACCCCACTCCTGTGACTGCTGGGTCCATTACTGTTACCGGTAACCGGTTATAATGTGATTGCTATTATTAATCATGTTGAGCACATGATTCCAATGTAAACAATAACCAATAACAGTGTATAAAAAAATCCCTGATCACCCACTCCAGAGTAGTAATGCCACTGAACTACTCTGACGACAGGAAGTAAAAAAAAAAAAAATAGTACAAAAAGTTGATTTTTTTTTTTTTACATACTGTTAGCAGTCAGTATCCCTGACCACCACCACATTAGTCATATGGGGACATTGTACTGCACTGGTGACAGTATGTAAAAAAAAAATAATAAAAAACTAATTTTTATCTAACGTCTTCTTTTTTCCAAAAAGTTTTGACAAAAAAATTACAACTTCAAAAAACTCTCAATGCCTCTTATAAATTCCTTAGACTGTCTACTTTCCGAAAAAGAAAAATCCAGTGGTGATCAAATGCCGCCAAAAGAAAGTTCTATTTGTGTGAAAAAAAAAAGCGTACAGTGTTGCATTTGCATGACCACACAAGTCAGTTACAGTAGCACAGTGCTGAATAGCAAAAACGCTCTAGTCATGAAGGGGGTAAAATCTTCCGGATAACAAGTAGTAAATACTTCCTGTGAGATGAACTGGAAGCCTAAAATGTATCTTCCTTCTGTAAACTTTTAACCGCTTCCCGACCGCTCTGTAGCAGAACTACTGCTACAGGGCGGGAGGCCTGGGCAAAATCATGTATATATACCTGATTTTGTATTTCAGGATAGGGGACACGTGCAGCACCCTACCCGCACCGCCATTGGTGGCTACAAGCTGTCGATCGCTGGGTCCCAGCTGGAGATTCCCCGCTGGCCCAGGGTGATCGCCGAGGAACACTGACAGAGGAGAGGTCTGTATGTAAACAATACAGATCTCTCCCCTGTCAGCACCAGCATGCTGCTTTGTATTGCTCTGTATAGCAGAGCAATACAAAGCAGCATGCTTACACAGTAAAACATACACAGGCCATATAGTAAAACAGCACACAGGTAACCCTTTGATCATCCCAGATGTTAACCCCTTCCTGCCCAGTGTCAATGCTTTTTATTAGCATTGATCACTGTATTACTGTCACTGGGGATGTCAATGGCAGTTATTCAGTCCCCCCCCAGTGTCAGAATGCCTGCCGCAGTCCCACTATAAGTCGCTGATCGCTGCCATTACTAGTATAAAAAATAAAAAAAAATTCCAATATACTGTATATACCGTCATATGTAGACGCTATTACTTTCATGTAAACCAATTAATTTACACGTATTGGGATTTTTTATAGCAAAGACATGTAACAGAATACATTTTGGCCTAAATTTATGATGAAATTTGTTTTTTAAATTGTTTTACTGGACATGTTTTATAGCAAAAAGTCAAAAATATTGTTTTTTTTTCAAAAGGCCACTGATACATCAAAAATAATAATATTCTTTCTCCGTCACCTATCTAAAATATTGAACAATGTGGGCAACTTGCTTAAGTACCAGACTGCCCAAGTATGATGTTATTGATATAAAATACTTGTCTTCCTTGAAAGGTTAACAGTTCAAGCATTACGCTCAGTATTTAGAAATAATAAAAATGTTTGTTCAGTGCTTGAACCCTAAGAGACTGGGAATGTTTTAGTTCTGCTTCATACTAATCCCCTGCTATTAATTCTGGGTGTGTCCATGCCTCCTACCACCATGACTGTTTTCTAAATTTCTTTTTTTGTTTTATGAGCAATTTTGTCCATTTTAACCACTTGATCCCTGGGCCAATTATAACATTCTTCTCTTACATGTGAAAATTAGCATTTTTTTTGCTAGAAATATACTTAGAACTCCCAAACATTATATATGGTTTAAGTAAAGGCCCTAGAGAATAAAATGGTGGGTGTTGCAATTTTTTTTATGTTATGTGGTATTTTTCAAACCATTTTTTGAAAAACAAAATGGTGCTTTAATTCCTTTTTTTTAACCACTTGCCCTCCAGAGGGTTTACTTCCTTCCTGACCAGGCCATTTTTCTGTGATATGGTGCTGCGGTACTTTAACTGACAATTGAGTGGTCATGCAACGCTGTATATAAATGAAATGTATGTCCTTTTTTCCCCACAAATAGAGCTTTCTTTCGGTAGTATTTGATCACCTTGCCGGTTTTTATTTTTTGCCCTATAAACAAAAAAAGTCCGACAATTAAAAACAAACAAATTTTTTTTTTACTTTTTGCTATAAAACATGTCCAGTAAAAAATTTAAAAAATGAAATTTCGTCATAAAGTTAGGCCAAAATGTATTCTGCTACATGTCTTTGCTAAAAAAAAACTCAATATGTGTAAATTAATTGGTTTACGTGAAAGGTATAGCGTCTACAAATAGCAGTATACTGTATATACTGGAATTTTTTTTTTATACTAGTAATGGCAGCGATCAGTGACTTATAGCGGGACTGTGGTGGGCATTCTGACACTGGAGGGAACTGACTAACTGCCACTGACATCCCAATGACACTAATACAGTGATCAGAGCTAATAAAATGCACTGACACTGTACTAATGACACTGGGCAGGAAGGCGTTAACATCCGGGGCGATCAAAGGGATAACTGTGTGCTGTTTTACATGATGTACTGTGTGTGTTTTACTAGGGAAACATGCTACTGTGTATTTGTCTGCTGCACAAAGAAATACACAGCAGCTTGTTGTTGCTGGCAGGAGAGTTTACACACAGGTCTCTACCCTGTCAGTGTTACCCTGCGGGGAGTCTCTGGCCGAGACCCAGTGATTGACATTTGTAGCTGCCAATGGCGGCGCAGGTAGGGCAGCGTGTATGCGTGCCCCCTACCTGGAAATGCAAATCAGATATAGATATATACGTGATTTTGCGCAGCACTGCCGCCCTGTAGCAGTACTTCTGCTATAGGGTGGAGGGGAAGCTGTTAATTTTCAAAATTTTTAAACTGCACCTTTACATTTTTAACCACAAGCCTACAGGGCATTTATACCCCCTTCCTGCCCAGGCCAATTTCCAGCTTTCAGCGCTGTCGCACTTTGAATGACAATTGCGTGGTCAAGCAACACTGTACCCATATGAAAATTTTATAATTTTTTTGTGACAGATAGAGCTTTATTTTGGTGCTATTTAATCACCTCAGGGATTTTTAGTTTTTCTTAAACAAACCAAAAACCACTGAAAATTTTGAAAAAAAAAAAATTTTTTTCTTAGTTTTTGTTATAAAATTTTGTAAATAAGTGATTTTTCTCCTTCACTGATGTGCGCTAATGTGGCTGCAGTGATGGACACTGATAGGCTGCACTGATGGACACTGATAGATGGCACTGCTGGGCACTGATGAGAGGAGGCACTGGTAGGTGGCACTGATGGGTATTGACAGGCATCACTGATGGGCACTGAAAGGTAGCACTGATACATGGCACTGATAGGCGGCACTGACTGGCACTGATAGGCAGCACTGACTGGCACTGTTAGGCGGCACTGACTGACACTGATAGGTGGCGGCACTGACAGGCATTGATAGGCGGCACTGATGCGCACTGATAGGCGGCACTGACTGCCAGTGATAGGCGGAACTGACTGGCACTGATTGGCAGCACTGATAGGTGGCACTGATTGGCATTGATAGGTGGCACTGACTGGCACTGATGAGTGACACTGAAAGGCAGCTCAGATGGGCACTGATATGTGGCATTGATGTGCACTGGTAGGCACTGATATGTGGCATTGATGTGGCACTGATGGGCACTGGCACGAGGCACTGATGAGCACTGACACAAAGCACTGATGAACACTGACAGGTGGCACTGCTGGGGCTACACAGATCATCAGGGCACACTGATCATCAGTGCTCTGATCATCAGTGTACATGTCCCCTCCGCGGAAAGCCGATTTGGCAGGGATGTTTTTTGGCTGGAAAAAAAACCCAGAGCTGGTGGGTTTCTAGAGGAGTTTTTTTTAGCTGTAAAAACACTCTAACGTGGTAAAATGCCACAAACTGGTGGTTTTGGACTTTTTTTGTTCAAAAACAAAATTTTTCTTTTGTAAAAAATTTCTAAAAAACGCAAATGTAGAAAAATGCCGCTAAATACGGCAAAACACCGCTAAATGCTAATGCAAAAAAGCTAAAAAAAAAGCTGAAAAACTCAGGTTTTTAATGTGACTTTACGCAGCTAAAGTTACCAGCGTTATCAATACGTCCCGTGTGCATGGAGCCTTATAGGGCAAGCAATTTGATGGCCTGGGATCACTCTGGAGTAGAAGCATTGTCATATTTGCCTGCTTTTCCTCCCTTTTCCTGATAAAAAAAAGCATGATATATATTTCTAATGATGATTACATATATTACAGTTGACCAATTTTTGATGTGCCTTTCACAATTTTGTATGCTCGCTATTCCAGATTTTCAGTATTGTATTAAATAGAGTGATCTGTAAACTAACCGCTAGATAGATCAATAAAGTATAGGTGAGCGCACACAAACACACACAAAAGAGCTGCTGGCATAAAAGGATAGAACCCCTGAATCCTCTGGTAAATGGTAAATCAATATGCAGCGCTAATAAAATATTATTAATCTTGGTAAAAACAATATAATATCTGGAGAAAATCCAGTAACAAGACAAATCGTGAATGGATGAATAATTAAAATAAGTGAAATAAGCACAAATAGATTGAACAATATTGCACTAGAAATGTATAAATGTAAACATTAATAAATAAAGTTCATAACTTGCAAAAGAGTGCTCAATAATCCATAATCCAGTGAACTCGTGACTGGATGAAAATTAAGATAGTGATCGTTATAACACTTCAAGCAGTAATAGTGATTCTGGTGACTGGGAAGTAGGAATATTGGAAATGACTCCAGTGCTCGTGACTTCACATGGTGATAAATTGATATGTGCTTGCTCTTACCGGAAGTGCAAATCATATGCTCATGTAACAATAACTTCCAAACAGGACCCTGGTGGTCATCATGGATCTGGTCAAGGGCAGAAGGGGCTCCACTGGCACACACACACAGCAGGGGAAGCACTCCAAACATCTAACGGACCAATCCAGCACAGGGGGTGGGGGAGGAACTGCTCTTTATTATCCGTTTCAGCCAAGGTACACCGATACTGTCTGATGTTACTCTTCCTCATTAAACGGCTCAGTAATCAAGCCCCCAGACATGTGTAATATAGTGTAGAATGTTTTAATAAATATGGGCAAAGTAATCCAAATAGTAATGTCACAAGAAATCAAGCTTATATGTACAGTGATAAAGATAGCCGCCGGACCAACATGCTGCCTCGGCGGCGTGACGTCAGCACGGCAAGGCTCCTCCCAGAATCACTATTACTGCTTGAAGTGTTATAACAATCACTATCTTGATTTTCATCCAGTCACGAGTTTACTGCACTGTTTTGCACTTTATGAACTTTATTTATTAACCTATTCACGCCGGCAGCACACAAATGTGCGGCCTCCCGGCGTCTGGGCCTAGACACCGAGCGGCCGCACATTTACATGCAATTAACAAAAAACATATGTGCTGAGAGTGCACACCCTGCGCGCTCCTAGCACACAAGTCCGGTACTCACGGAAAGGTCCCAGTCTGCTCTTTCGATCGAGACCTTTCCCGATCATGTGACCGCCGTGATGACACATCACGGCGGTCACATGATCCCTAAACCCCGCCCGTCCCGCCTCCCAGCATCTGAAACTCTTAAAGGGCCAGGAGGCGCCGATGGGAAGGGGTTCATGTTTACATTTATACATTTCTAGTGCAATATTTTTCCATTTATTTGTGCTTATTTCACTTTTTTAAATCTTCATCCATTCACGATTTGTCTTGTTACTGGATTCTCTCCAGATATTACATTGTTTTTACCAAGATTAGTAATATTTTATTAGCGCTGCATATTGATTAACCGCTAGTTAGAGCTCTGTATTGCTCTCAGCTTCATTCACCCTCCCACTTGAGATATGTAAGACATTTGCCACTTAGACGTTGGCATCTTAGACATCGGCCTCTTAGACAGTGCATTGTTTTTAGGTTCAGCCAAGTAATATGAAAAGGTTTAATGAAGGAGGAAGCCAAGTAAATGGTCCCTTGCAGGGGCGGACTGACCATTTGGAAACTCAGGCACTGCATGAAGGCCCGGGGTCAGTAGGGGGCCCCATGAGATGCCCCTGGTACCTTTTTCATAGGCTTTTTTGAGTTTATGCAAGGACACAGGGGCCACATGATCCCCTATTGCCCGGGGGCCCCATGAGTTGTCAGTCCGCCCCTGGCCCCTTGGTTAAGTAAACAAGCAAAGCTGGATTCACAGGAATTATTCAGGTATATGCAAGGAAAACCCAACTTTCTTTAGTACTTCTTGCACATGAGTGGCTATTCAAAGTAGTAACAGCTTTCATATTTGCAAAACAAAGAAATTACTTTGGTAACTAAATATTCTCTACATCTTTAGTAAATCAACCTCTGCATTACCATTGCTTGGAAACACTGTATAGCTGGAAGCAGAGTGGAAATATGTATTTGGGGCACTGGCACTCATGCAATATACATTTTCATGCAACGTGCCAATTTTGAGCCTAAGTGTCCTGACATTCTAAACACTATAAACATGGCTACAGGTCATGAATCCATCTTCTCATCTCATTATCTCCCCTAAGTTTCATGACAGATACTGTACAGGGAATGAACCTTGGCTTTACAGGTTGGCTGCATGTATTACTCCCAGGGGCGGACTGACCATTTGGCAACTTGGGCTCTGCCCTAGGGCCCGGGGTCAGTAGGGGGCCCCATGAGATGTCCCTGGTACCTTTTTCATACGCTTTTTTGAGTTTGGGCAAGGACACAGGGGCCCCATGATCCCCTATTGCCCAGGGGCCCCATGAGTTGTCAGTCTGCCCCTGATTACTCCTGTGGTAAACTTTTTTCCCCTGATACACTGAATTAACCTTTGTTTTACTGGTTGTCTGCGTCAACTTACCTTTATGAAACCTTTCCTGAAATGGTACTCTGAATGATCCTCTGCTTTAGTCTAGGTTCACACCTATGCATTTTCTGTTGTGTATTGCGGAAACACACAGCAGTCCATTTAACATGATTTCCTATGGGACAGGTTCACATCTCTGCGTTTTCACCCGGTGGGTTTTTTGGAAAGGCTCAGGGACTTTTTTGGTTCTATAGACTTCAATGGAGATGCTGCAGAAAAGTATGTAGTGCGTTTTTGATGCGTTTTTGTGTTTTAATCTGCCCAGCAACAAGATTAAAAAAAAAAGCAAAACCAAAAACGCAGCAAAAAAGCATGTGCAAAAAATGCAAAAACGCACTGCAGAAACGGATCAAATGCAAACTGCATAGGTGTGAACCTAGTTTTACTGGTTGTCTGTGCAAAACTCACCCTAGATTAACCTCTTGCCTCCTGGTCCTTTTAACAAGTTCTAAATGGCATGGAGGCGGAGTTGGACATTGCGATCATGTAACTGCTGTGATTGGCAGTCAGAGTGGTCATATGTTCGGAAAGCTCCAGATTGAGAGCTTTCAGGTACCCGCCGATTACTGTGCTGGGAGCGCTCAGTGCGCACACTCTCAGCATAGTAAAGTGTTTACATAGGGATGCATGTATGCGGCCGCTTGACGGTAGAGCCCCCCCTTGCTGAGTGTCTGCATCTATGTGTACGGTTGGTGGGAAGTGGTTAATAACTATATTATAGGGATTGTTTATCTTCCTATTTTGTTTGATTGAGAGAGAAGAAAGATGTTATATTGGCTATTGTCTTGTGTGGAAGGTTTGCTATTGCATCTCTCTGTTCTTAAAGCGGTATTAAACTCAAAACCAAAAAATTTAATATATTGCAGCTTACCAATCTATAGATGTGGTGGCTGCATTAGTTTTCTTTTTTGGCGCTTTTTTCCCTTCGTTTACACTTGATGAAAATCTACGCACTCTAATTTCTATTCCCTGGCTTGCAAGAACCAGTCCCCCACTTCCCTTCTTATGTGCCCCCCTAAATATCTGCTCTATCTGCAATAAACTCACCTATGTCCATAACCTTTTCATCTCCAACTCCCTTAAATCTGAGGTTTGAGGTTTGGAAAATGTTTTTCTCTCTACAGCTTTAGTTACATTACTTACCTGTAATTAAGCATGTCTTACATTGTACAGACTGCTGGATTTGATGGAAATCTTCACTGAAGGACTGCTCTGTCCACTTCCTGCTGCTGAGCTTCTGGCTCTGTGGGGTCAACTGCCTTGGATCTTCAGGCTCAGCTGCACTAAAGATGATCCAATGGGGACATGCCCCCTCCTGTTATCTCCTCCATTGAGAACACTTCTTTTATTATTACAAAGCTTGTAACATTTGTGACTGGGGGAGAGAATCATGTTACCGATCAGACTCTCCCCTGTTCACCAATTGTGATACAGGCAATGTAATTGATACAGGCAATGTAATCAATGAAAGAACTTTTCTCATTGGAGGAAAGGGCATGTTCCCCAGTTGGATCATCTTTATTGCAGCTAAGCCTGGAGACCCTTAGCTGTGTACCCCCAGAAGGCTGATCATTTACCAGAACTAAGAGGACAGGGCAGCCCTGCAGTGAAGATTTCTACAGTATCCAACAGCCTGCACAATGTGGGACATACTTCATTACAGGTAAGCAATGTAACTAAAGCTGTAGAGAATATTTTTTTTTTTTCAGGCTTCAACCTACTAGCCACTATTGAAACCTGTTTTTTTTTAAACCTGGTGCG